ACAGGAGGGAGAAGGTGCCGAAGAGCGCGAGAGCGGGGAACGGCCGTGCAAAGAGAGGAAAGAAGAGGAAAGAGGCGGCAGCAGCAACAGCAGCGGCAGCAGCAGCAGCATCAGCAGCGGCGACGGCGGCGGCGGCGGCGGCGGCGGTGGTAGCGGTGGTAGCGGTGGCGGCAACGGCGACGAGGGGAACGGAGAAAGAGGAGCGCAAGAGGAAGCGAGCAAAAGGGGGCCCCTTCGTCGGAGGCTACCGTGAGAACGAGGCGAGGCATCGCGTCCCACACGGGCCCTTCAGCCGGCACGGGGCCCGACAGAGACCGCAACAGTCCGGGCCCCCGAGCGCTGGAGCCCCGCTGCCTGGGCCCGTGCTCGCGACAGAGACAACGACAGGCGCGAGCCTCACACGCGACTCGCACACGTCCGAGCCGCCCGAGCCGCTCGAGCCGTGAACACAAACCGCGTTTTTTTCATCCTCGGCGCTATCCCCCTCTTCCTCCTCTTCATCCACCTCCTCCTCCTCCTCCACCGCCTCCTCCTCCTCCTCCTCCTCCTCTTCTTGCTGCCGTTACCGCCGCGCTCTGCCGTCAGTCTCCTTCTCGTGTTTCCGTCCTTTTTTCTGCAAGCTCTGGCCGCTACCGCGACGAGCCCCGCTCGCGGTGACTTCGCGCTTTTTTCCCCCGTTTTTCATTATGATACGTTCGCGGCTTTTTAGCGCGTTGCCGTCCTCTGGACGGCGATCATGTACACGTAGGCATTGATACCTGTAACTTTATATTGGGAAATATGAGAGATGTTCGAAAATTTTCGTGAATAGATCGATTTATTATAGAAATACGTGTGTAAAGTAGTAGTATCGATGGAGAGAAAAGCAAGTCACAAATTTTTTTTTTAATTAATGTTTCCAGAGGTGTTCTAAAAATTTTGCTGTATCTGAAAATAAAAGGCAAAAACGATCTCGTAGAAATTTAATATTAAAAATTGAATAGCGATCAGAATAAGAAGATATATTACATTCTTCGTTTTTGCTAAAATTATACGACAAAGACGTGTAAATTTCCGAACAACATTTGGCACGTTCCCTCTCTTTCTTGGCCGACTTTCGCCTTGTTCCTCGTCTCTCGAACCTCTTATCCAACCAAATATCTCATTCTCTACGTAATGTGCGGCAGTTTTACCTTTTGACCGGCTTTCACAACAACTTTGCCCGGCTGAAGATTCATTCTTGACTATCGCAAACGGTACCGCGTTCTCGAGCGTTGTGGCGTACTTTCTCCAAACGCCTGGTCCTTTGGTTCTTTCATTCTTTTCCTCGCCATCCCTTTCCGGACACTTTATCGGGCCCCAATTTCTGGGCCCGTGCGAGAAAGGGTGCCGACGCCATGAGTTCGTGCCGCGGAGCATCATGCGGGGTCTTGGCCTCGCCAATCAACCGCAATAAACTTAAAAAAAGGGGGGCAAACCGAGCTACCTCTTTTTACGTGCACGCGAAGAAGACTGCGGTCCGCGGATCGGCGGTCGTAAACGGCGAGAGGGTGCACCACAATTTTGCACCACGTGCGTGGGAAATAAACGTGCTGAGAAACGCGCGGCGCGGGCATCAAGGAAGCTGATTTCGCCGGGCAGCGGAGTAATCACTCGTAATTTTGTAAGGACCGAGAGTATCTTGGGAAAGAAATTTGTATCTGCCCGATTTTTAAGAGCAATAATTATTGCGTGCAGGCGAAGCCTTTGATCCTTTCCAATGCTTCGAAAATGTTGCATCTCGAGGAAAGTTGTGTTCAGAGTTTGGGTTTATTATACTTTCCATGCACTAAGTTTATCGAATTTTTTTTATCTAAAAATTTTGTTGTTTATTTGAATACAAAAGAATAATTTTTCTCATTGTTAGGGACGTAATCGCTCAAGAAATTTGTAATATTTTATTTCGAATATGAATACGCATCAAACATAGAACTTTAGCGGATTTTTTTTATTTATAAACTATCTGGTTTATCTAAAAACTATTTGGTATTTGGATATGAATGAATTATTTTTCTCAGAAACGTAATCGCTTTTTTCGGAACTTGTAACATTTAACTTTAGACATACAATAACTGTTTATCTGTAAGTTTTAGATAGCGCGGGAAGAGAAAAGATTAATTCAGCCTCGTAGAAGAAATTAATCTATCAGATGATACTACATATCTTTCAAGGAAGCTTGTCGGTATTCGGTGCGGAAGTTTTTATTTATTCCTCCTCATCGATCATCGCGCCTTGTGTTCGCCGCACGAGTCCCACAGTTCTCGTATGTCTGTCGGTCTACCGAGCGAGAAGGGGGGGAGGGAGGGGAAGAAAAAGCGAGCCGTTCACCGCTTGAAATACTAGGAAGGAAAACAATAATTAGTTGATGTCACCCGACGTTGAAACCCGCCCGTGCAATATCGTTCGCGTCGTTATCGGACCGCTTGTTATCGCTTGTGCCGTATCGCGGGCCGCTACGCGAAGCGTGCGAATGTTTACGACTCGTGTCGGATTCTAATACGTCAGTTGGCGTCAATGAAAGCACGCCGAAGAATCGGGCGTGTCTGCACGTCTCGTGAATGACAGCACCGGATACAATCCGCATACACGAACTGTCTCTGTGTAAAAGGAGTAGTAAATCGTACGATTATATGCCTTAGAATGGCTTGGAACATACAAAGATGTGGCGACGAATTGAATAAAATTTCAGGAGCGTTGATTTTTGTGTGACGAATGATGATCTATATTCGTCACGTGAGTATATTTAAGCAAAAAGTATATAATTTTTTTTTGAAAAACATTTGTTAAAAAATTACTATTGAATAATCCAAAAATGATTTACTGAGTTATTTAAATTCGTATAGGGTAACTGTCCCTATTAGTGTGCTTTTATATTTAAATAAGTATATCATAAAAACTGGTACAAATAAATAGACAAAGTATTTTTATGACTTATTTAAATATAAAAGCACACTAATAGGGACAGTTACCCTAGTTTAGAATTTATGTTATGCGGCACTTGGTTCCTCTGGTATTTTCACCCTTCCATTTTAGTGAAACACATGGCTTCGGAAATTTTCACGCGCACACCTCGACGTGTCAAGTACTAATCTATCTGTAACAGAAGACTCCGAGAGAGAAGATTCTTTTAACGCCGTCGTGAGACTAATCGCCCAATGTAAGCGTCAGAGAGATCACGGTCATCTCTATAAAAATTCCTCGTTGACATGAGCGACGAGGCAGCCTCCAGAAGGAAGCGCCAAGTGCAAATGCAGTCGACGCGGTGCGTGTCTGCAGCTCTCTGAGCATCTGGCAGCTCCAGTACACACAGAGATAATCTTAATGAGTTTCGGCTTATCATCTCGAGTGAGGCAGCCGAAATCCCGTGGACGTAACCGCGCCTCTTGAAGCCACCACAATGGTGTCTTTTCAGATGGTGCCGTCACGAAGTGGAATGTCACGCGGCATGAAACGCGATCGGCGCTCATCGATGAAATATCACTCGTAATTACTGATTACCAAGTGTCGCAAATACACCAAAGTATAATAGCGTAAGCAGCGGTTTTAAATAATTTATCTTACGTGCCTGGGACTTTTTTTCAAAAGTCAATCGTCCCTTTTAAAACGATCCCCTGGTCAACGTGTCTTCTTTTTATCTTAACGCTTAAATTTGCCGTATTACTCTCGAATTAGCTATCGCTGGCACGGAAATTCCAGTTCTTTGCCTGTCACGATACATCCCGATTAAGAGCGGCATTTTTGCGCGAGGAAACCAGCTGTCTTCGTAACCGCATTAAGACAAGCCCGATGCTAATGAAGAGATAATCGCCGGCGGGCTACTTTACAATTTAGGTATACGATAATTTTAGAGTTGCGAGAGATGCGATTACGGCTGGCCGCTCATTTAGATTCACGCTATCATCGCAATCACAGGGGCGACGTATTACCCGCTTACGACATTTTTGCCGCGTATACGATGTTTACGGCCCGGTTCCTGCACTACATTAATTAGCAGTGCATGTGATTGATAAAAAGAGCCCTTACTGCCGGCATGGATGATTCGCTGGTGAAGCGGATGTGATATCTAAGAACGATCGAGACGTAATTATAGCTTGAGATTTTACGAAATTGCTCCGATCTCACGTTTAGAAAATATTTAATACACGATTATACACAAGAACTCGCGAAATTGTGCACGTGATTACAAGATGCGCTATGATACGATTACAAGACTGCGGTTTTTTCTTATGCCATTTCCTTTATCACTATGGGCTCAGGAAAGGATATCAAGTTTTGTCTACAAACATTCTAGTTTGCAGTCGCAAGCTCTTAGTATCTAAGCGAAAGAGAAAAACATTGGCTAACGTAACACGATCGCGTTCTACAGAAGCGCCAAACGTGCCACGGCAGTTTCCGTCTCATTATCGACGGATATGTGGTAATGGCATTCTGATTGAACGTTGCTTGCTTTCACTGAACGCAATGGCTCGTGTTACGACGGGCGCATTGCGAACTCGGCACGATCGCTATATTTTGCAAACAAATTCGACGCGAGCGTGCGTCCACGGACACGCGTGTAAAATTGGTAATCCAATCCCATTCGCCACGCAGGGCATTAATTATCGGCCATTATATATACGGCGTACGTCAAACAGTAACTACTAACCGCCTTCATTCGCAGTATGTCGGACGAACAAAATCAGAATTAAAAATCTAAATTGGCAATTAATAATTGTAAAAAAAAAGAATATTTATATTTTCCTGATCGTCTGATTTTTATTATAATCTATCACGTGAAAGATTGCAAAACACGAAAAGAGATTTCGGTGTGTAAAGGATTTTGTGCGATTTTCGCGAGAAAATTTAATGGAATTGATTTGGCAATATCGTTGAAGTATATTGACTTTGAATTATTCCCTTGTGTGCAGCCCCTCGTGTTTTTGTCAGCCCGCCGGCCGCGCCGATGCGCACGGTTGCACGCGTGCGCTCGTGTGGGTACAACACAACGAAGCATTTGGAGCGACCTTCCTATCCAAAGTAGCTTCTCCGGAGGGTTCGTAGTCGGGTGAGGGTAGCCTGTGCCGGAATGGCTGCGGAGAGCATCGAGTCAGTTGGTGTAGAGACCTCACCAAGTGCACCCGCTTGCGTGTCTAATGTCAGCCCGTCCCGACCTGTCAAACCGCTCGACGTGTCGTCGGTATACACGCGTTATTCGATATTTTATCCATTTACACTTCGACACGGGAGATGTAAAATGTCGCGGCGAGATGCCGTAAGGCAAATCGGCTCGTGATATGATCGAACTGTTTGGCAAAAAGTCTCGGAGAAAACGATACCGTCGCACGCGCCGTCCTACGCGCGATTTTGTTTATTCAACAGGATAAACGAAACCTCAGGCTTCGACATTTCACGCGCCAGTGTCTTTAGTAGTTCTCTTCAAATGACGATTTTCGCAATTACCATCCGCTGTTGGAGCTGCCAGTTTTGACAAAGGTACACTTCTCTGCTTAAAATTCTATTATTTTTTATGTTACTTATGTATTTTTTTAATTATGTTATTTACGTACTTTATTTTATTTATGTTTTATACATATTACTTATACATATCCTACTTCATACATATCCTAGAGATTGCTGTGCCTTTCGTATAAAATTTTCTTCCTTCTAAAACGTATAAAACAATCACTCTTATCTTCGTGAGAAAGTTAACTTTTGCGTATGACATTTCTCAAATTGCAATTAATATTTTTGTATACAGTCTGTATATGTAATACAGACTAGTATTAGTTTTAAAGATTAATATTTTACACGGCTGTCAAAGTGTGAATAAAACTTCCATGCAATGCCGGCTCTCGTCGACGCTGTCTGGATCCATTTGATCTACGGCTTTATAAATCGTACCAGTTGATCCAGCATACAGTGCCAATGGCGCTCACGTGGTTTTATTTATCGAATAAATTTGTTGGCTACTAGCTGCATTTGATTTTCATTATACATTTTACCATCCGGTTTGACCGGCTATATTTAGCCTCGGCGACGATTGTGTTTAATTACTGGTTTATATGTTCAATATTATTTAGTCTCGCATGACTAACTATAGGCTGTAAATTAGCTGTAAATTAAAAAGAAGAATTTTGAGAACATGGAAGATACGTAGTATTTAGTAAACTGAATAGATTGAAGAGTCTGTGCCGTGCGTGCGTGCATTTATCAATGTTCGTTTCCCTCTCTCGTGATATTTGTATTTATTATCGTGTAAAACTGCAACTCCGCTCACAGGCTTTAATTAGTCCTACTCTTGTTATTACGATACTTTACGTCGTAGAATCTTTTTCAATTACTTTACATTATATATTGGTTATACATCGATTGCTTCTTTTGCAGCTTCTAGTTCCCTTTCTGGATTTATGTCTTTCCCACCTGCAATGATGTCGTACGATTATCCTCATCCGGTCTCAAGAACGTATCAATACAAGAAGGTATTGCGATCAATAGTTAAACATAAATGATAAGCACCACATTTTCTTTTTGTACATCTGTAATGTGAATAAGAAATGTATAATGGTGAGCAATTAAATACCGTTTGAAATATTTAATATTTAATTACGTACGTGAGAGATTGTGCAAGCTCGCGCGTAGTTCCTTGCTTTGCAATCCAAGTTCCGAAGTTCACACACGATTCAAGTCGCATTCGTCAACTGCCGGCGGCGCAGACATCTATTTTTAGGATTAAAGACTCACGATTGTTTATCAATGCAGTTCAGCGACGTTAACTAGCTCCGTGTTATGCGATAACTGATGTAAATAATATTTAACAATTAGTGTCACGTGATTCAACGTTGATGAATACGAGCTAAGTTCAAGAAACGTGAATATGCGAACAATATTACACTGATTTACACGATGTTTTTTACTAGCGTGCTAATCTTCTAGCGAATTAGAACATTTTAGCAGCTAAAAAAATAAAATTTTTAGAATTTTTAGCTGCGAGTTTTCTAAAAACATATATATACCGAGTACTTGGTAAAGTATATTTGCTGAGCAGCACGTTTTGTGCCCGTCGCCGGCATCAGCACAACCGATTCTTGTTTTTTCGACGACTTGGCACCTGGCGTCGCACGTCATAAATTCGTACTTCTTCTCGCGGCTTAAGCGCCGAAGAAATCGATGAGGGACGGCACGCGAAACGAATTGCCGGTCGCTAATTGAAGCTAAATCATCAGCTCAGGCTGTCTCAAGCGCCGCGATGAAACAACGAGAGACCATGACTCTTGCGGGCGACTCTCGTCCCTGTCCAAGTTACAAATCGAAGATTTCGTTTCTTGAATTAATGCCGTAGATGGAACGATAAAGCGACGGTGCCCCGGCATGTAGCTCGATTATTACTTACGTTCTGTCGCCGTCGACGCCGCGATTCTCGCCTTCGCGCGTCCCGATCACGTCGTAAATTAGCAATTTACATTGTGATGGACGATCGGACACGCGCGCCGCGCGAGATGCACGATCGAGGTGCGAAAGATCTCACCGGGCCCGGTCGACGCGCGAGCGCTCGAAGCAGCTGCCGAGATATTGATTAATAAAATATAACGTATGTTCAACAAACGCAGATAACAAAGCCGCTTTTGGAGAGGAAGAGGCGAGCGCGGATAAACCGTTGCCTCGACGAACTCAAGGATCTCATGGTGGACGCATTGGAGGTAGGTGGTGCTGACCTTTTTATCGATAAAAAACATGTAATATTTTACAGTTTGAAACAACAGCTGCGTGTTAACATTAAAGTGATAGCAATGAAATACTATCATATAATAAAATCCTATTGAATTCTATCTCGAAACTAGGAAGAGAAAGAGGTTTATAAATATTGAATGTATTTAGTAATTTCTTTTTTTTTATGTATATACATTCTAAAATCAGTATAGCTATTTTGAACAGGTGTTTCGCGAAAGAGTATTATGAGTTACGAGAGCGAGAGATGTGGTTGGATATAATAATGGTACGCGACTTCACGCGTTTGCAACTTTTTTTGCGAGTGGCAATTAACTTTCACTCCGCGCGCGATCCTTTTTTCCCTTTCTTTCGCACGGTCGAGATAAATTGTTTAACGGCGAGGAAAGGTGGCGACATTTCCGAACGCAACAATCTCGGAGCCGATACCTTGGTAAACCTGGTTCAGCGAGCACGTGCTATGCTCTTTTTTTTCCGCCCTCCCCGCGCGCGTTGGGCGAGCCTTCGGAGGAAACGCGTGTTTCTTGCTCGACTCCCACCGCACTCTATTTATGATACCGAGTAGCTCTCCCCTCGCACGTCACCGCCTCCCCCCCTGCTGCAATTTTACGGATCGCGACTAGCAGGAAACGCATTCTCCGGCCGCAACTACGCGTGCAGGCGATTTTGCTTTTAAATATTCTCAGAGCGTGGGAACCCGCACCCGGCGAGCGAGTGTCAACAAAATGATATTCAGTGCGCGGTCAAGCGGACCGCGTTTACACGCGCTTTACGCGTACGTGATATTTAAATACCCTCAATTATCGCCGTCTAATCTCTAATGATAATTGCGTCCCGGCGTTGCGCTAGGCTCGGTATTTACATTGCACCTTCAACGCAACCGCACAGTTCTCAGCCGGCGATAACGCGATCTGGATAAAATAACTGAAGAATTAGATGAACTCGTTTAGGATTTAATGTGCGAGATAAAGCTCCTTAAATTCTTTTTAAAGAGCCCCTGTCGCAAAATATACTATTCTGTGCTGCACCAAGATGATTACAGACAGACCGACGCGTAATCCCTATTATTGCGTGATTCATAGTGGCGCATTATTTTTATATCGATAAGCGCGAAGTATCGTATATTAAACTTTAGCTTTAAATAGTCACGCTTGGCTTTAAAAATGCGAGAACAAGGGGGTCGATATCTGAGATTTTCTCGCGTTCGAAAACAAGCGCGCAAACCGATGGCGTGTTGCAAAGAAGCGCTATTACACGTTTCCTGTACATTACATGTTAAATGGCATTCGCCACAACGCGCGCTTCGCCGCTGATGGCAATTTGTCGATATAGCGCGTCTTTCCGCGCGGAACATTCGCCCGCGTGAAACTTACGTTCGCGCGATAATTCGCTGAATCAGCGTGAAAGGCACCGCCGATTTCACCATGCTAATTTTCCAACGGCACATTACCCGGTCCGATCGGCACGTTTCGTACGGCTTAATGCCCGCCGCGACCGGATGCTATTCTTCTTCTCGCAAAACGTCGCGAAACTGGCGAGCTGTAAAGCCTCCACGCTCACGGCGCCGCCGCGCCGTCGTGGCCAGCGATCCTTTTAGAGTCGCTCGTCTCTCCGTTTCTTTTTGTAATGAGCAATCGAGTGACGTAAAGTACACCGCCCTGCGAGCGTTACGAGCCGGTAACGATACCATCTTAATGGCAATCTTTCTCTCTTCTAGTGCGAAAAACTCGAGATGTTCCTTTTTGCGGAATCGTTCGTTTTCTCGCGGTATCTCAGTGCAGATGCCCGATGAGAGACTAGCCCGACAGCAACCGAAGGGTTAACTCAGCAGAAGCGCGAAAATTGTACGATTGACGTGCATTGCAACCGATATCAGAATCATACGCTTGATTGTAATTTGAAACATGATTGGAAACGGAATCAATTATAAATTTAATTTATCAGAATTATAATATTCGTCATATTTTTTCGCAATTGTAGCTCGCTTTCTTACCGATATTGTTTAGTAAAATCTTTTTTTTTTAATTCGAATTTTACAAAAAGAAATGAAATATGTGTGTGTAATGAGAATTGACGAATCTAGCAAAACTGGAATGATTTGCAGACCGAGGGCGAGAACATCAGCAAGCTGGAGAAGGCGGACATCCTCGAACTGACGGTGCGTCATCTGCAAAAGCTGCAAGCCTCGCGACCCTCCGGATTATCGGCGACGATCGCGAGCGGCGACGAAATTTCCGCGGAGAGCCGCTGGCAGTCCGGCTTTGGGCATTGCGCGGCGGAAGCCTGCAGATTTCTCTCGTCGCTTCCAGGTGAAGCCGCGGAGAGACTTGCGAGACACCTCGCAGCTGGTCTCCAAACGGGCCGGCAGACAAATTCACCGGTAATTATAACCGTGTTCGATCTGTGGATAATTGATGGACGATACAGGGGGGCAAGCGTCGGGGATAAACGAGGCGATCAAGCAAAGAATATTGAGCATGTACGCGCGCATGAATACACATTCCTCGCCGATCGGCGCTTGTAAAGTCATATCGTAGTTGACGGCGTGCCGCTACTGTTTGCGGCCAAAAAAAAAGAACTTTTAATTAAAGCATTTCACTTTTCGGCATAATATTACGTCGCGTCGTTTACGATACGGCTCGCTTCGCCAACGTTAATTATTGCCGTTTAAGAGATACATGCCTCGTACGATAAGTCGCCGCGTGTACATCGAATTTGCATTGTCGCACAATGGACTTACGCGAGGGAGTTGCAACTTGCAACCTGCAGTTTCTCGCAAATATATTTGATATGTGTACTTTATTGTAACACTGGTAACTAATGATTGAAGTGTAAAAATTGTGCAGACGATAATATTATAATTAAATTAATCGTTTAATTATTCACCTTCATAATTTGTGAAAATTTAGATGTTTTTTTTGTGAATTATTACATAGTATTGTATCAATTATGTATGTCTTATCTATTATTCTTTTGTTATTCTTATGTTTTATGTTTATCCTTCTTAATAATTCCTCGCAATTCTGTTGAAAGTTTGCGAAAATAAATTACAATATTCTGTACAGAATATTAATTTCGGCTTATAGAAAATAACGGGTAAATGAAGTCACGTTACGTCTCACGAAGTTGCGGCCAAAAATGGCAAAAAGGGTATTACCGCGATCGAGCCGCGGGAATAGCGCGAGTCGCAAAGATTTATGATCGCAAAGTGTTAACGACCGCCGTAATGACGACAAAAAACGTGTTCTCCTCAGCCGAAAGCCAACCTGTTATCGCCTACCCTCGCCAATCTGGATCACATTGCCAGCGTCGTGGCACCTTGTCCCGTCGGCACCTCCGGCGAAATTGACTCGGCGATACTCTCCACGAACACGTCGCCGATAAGATCCACGCCTCACGCCGATAAAACTCCGATCCGCGACGCGGGCGCATCGGCGACGATCGCTTCCAGCATGCCTCGATGTCGGGCCTCGATGTCGCTCGTTAACGGCGATGAGAAATTAACAGCAAATTGCAATGCCAAATCGAAAAGCCTGAGGGACCGAGGATCGCCGACGACGGCAACGACAACGGCGACGGCGACGATAATAACGACGAGGAATAAAACGAACGATCCGCATGACATTAATGCCGATGACGATGAAGAAATCGATGTCGAGCGCGTGGATGACCGCGACCCGATGTGGAGACCATGGTAGCACGCGAAGACACTTTGTAATAAAAGATCGATGATATGCATTCGGGCATTCCTTATACAGACTGTCTGGGTACTTGTGGTCGTTTATTTTATTATCTATGTTGCCTTGACTTATTATAGGGAAAGTCGATTTGCTTCTTAATAAAAATGTTGAGGCACCGAATATTGGGTTTTCTGATTGAAAGTAAAGAAACACGAGATATGAAATTTATTCTTCGGTTACTTACAAGTTTATATTATTTTAAATATGTCTAAATATGTATCTTCTTAAACCGTTTGAAAGGCTTAATTAAAAACTGCAGGCAGAGTAAATTCCTGATTATGTTTTATAGTATTGTATTAAATGTAAAATATTTTTTAATAAGTTACACTTGGGTTCAAATGAAGAATATGAAGAAAAATTAACAGAAACACGCATACCAACAACAGAGAATAATAGAGTTTTTATTCAAGATTAAGTTTAAAAGATTTTTCTTATAATAATAATTCTTTTAAATGTTAATTTGTTATTTTTAAGTATTATTTATAATAATTTGAGAGGGTGGAAAACGAGATATAATTTTATGTAAAGATTTTGCAAAGTTTGTTCAATATCTTCGTTATATTAAATGTTAGTTGCAATACCGAAAATCTAAACCAACAGATTGATAAAGAAATATCATAAAGTTACGTAATATTACGTTAATCTGTGTTACTTTGGTACTTGGCTTTAAATCGGTAGGTAATAGTTTATCCTTAGATAATTCAGATTTTTACTTATGATTAGACTTGTGATATGTTAAAGAGCGATTTTTTTTATTGTTCAAGTATTTTAAGAGACGAATGATTAATATCAGCATTTTCACACATTTTTTTTATTATTACAACGAATTAACACATAGATGCACTTTACTTTGATTATAATCTCTTTATTGCATGGTTCATTATACCAAGAATTTTTCATTTAAGACGTGTATCTTTATTACATTAACATAAGAGGAAATCATTATAATTAATTTTATATAGCACAGTTTATTCGCATATGATTATTTTAAATAAACATATTGTCCTACATTTATTTATGTTGATGTACACACGTTGCTGTTAACAAATATACTTCATGCGTGATTAATCTGTGATAGCGATAAGAAATCCAATATTTGGTATTATCTATGACTTGAAAGATTTTTAATAAAACCTTTTATAAAACCATTTCTGTGGATATCTGATTTATTAAAAAATTCTAATATTTTAAATAAATATTTGCAAATATGATTTTAACAATGTAATACCTACATTTTTTTACGTGTTTCTTTAAATACATATCAATTTTGAAATAGTATATTTCATATTTAGCAAATTATATTTAGCACAAAATGAGACATAAAATCGTCTTCTAAAAAGAAGTATTTAAACAGATTATTTATTTACTTAAAAATAGATGCAAAACATTTTTAATTAATAAAAAAGTACTAATTATATTTTGAATTTGTAGTATTAAATATCAAACTGATAAAGTATCGTGATTTATAATGTTTACAGCATTGGTTCACATTTGTTGTATCAAATTTATTTTCTTCTTCGGCAAATTGCTTACTTTTCGAAGAAATTAATTTGTTTATCTGAATTGTTATGCTTCACGCATTTTTAATAATCAGTTGAGTATCAAATTTATTTTCTTCTTCGGCAAATTGCTTACATTTCGAAGAAGTTAATTTTTCTATCTGAATGTTATTGTTATATGCTATATTTTATCTGAATTGTTATGTTAATTTTGCTATCTGAATTGTTATGCTTCACGCATTTCTTAATAATCTAATTGGGATTGAGTAGTTGGGTTTCTTCAACATAGAAGATATTTATGTCGCCATCTATGACAATAACTGGTAACTTACTCTAAGAAAATATGAAAACTTATTTGTAAATATTAATATTTTAACATTTTGCACATTTTATAAGTGTAGGTTATCATATTAAATGTTGTGTAATATTTTTATACTAATAATTTTATTAATCGAAGTAACGTTTTTTTTCATTGCTCAGAGGATTATGAAGGTAATGTCTCGGGTATACGATTTCTTCTACACAGCGATCGATAAAAAGAATTAACATTATAAGCTTTTAAACTATATATGCATTATAAAATCAATTTTTTATATTGAAGAATAAAATGATTTGTTAAAATTATATATATATATATATATATATATATATATATATATATATGTTTCTCTTGTATTTGAATCACATTTTTTGTGTACAGCTTAATATTAATACCAACAGATGTTATTACATCGACTGTTGTTATTTACATATGGACTATATCCAAAATGTGTTATCTAACTTCTTACAGTTTCTGAAATATTTTATAAATTTTATAATTTATATTTATGTAATGCATAATTTTATGAATTTGATGTAATCTTTTTATATAAAATACATTGTTATTATATATTGTTATGATTAAAAAAGAATGACAATATATATCTAAATCTTATACTCTACATATGTATATATATTTATAATGTAAAGAGAAAATTGCTTCCATATAGATCATCAGAAACAAATTATGATTTATTGTTGCATACATCATTCAAAGAGTAAACAGTTTTAAATGTATTTGACTTTGCACGTACATTCTGCCAATTCTGTTTTTTTTTTATTTTTTATGACAAAACCGCAAGTTAACCGCACGCAGGTAGAAGAGATCGGGGTAGTCCCAGCAGATAAAGAATTTATTTCCTTTTTAGTAAGGACACACAGTTTGGCAACAAACAGCTTTTCACTGACCACTATTGTGAACATTAAACTAAAATGGCGACGCTTTTGTCGGTTGCCAACGGCTCTCACATAAAAAAATGGCGGCGCGATTATAAAGCTTTGCTACTGTGCCGACGCTATTGTGATCAACCACAAGTAGCTTCCTGCCAAGTAGGTGATATAAATGACATTAGAAGGAAAAAAATGGAAAATGACTTTTCCCGTTGCGGGATTATTTTCTTTCACAGTTTCTTTAAAATTGTTCTTTGATTTCCTTCCTACTTTCGAGTTTTTTTAGTCGTATACAAAAATATAAATTTTTAAATTTTTGTTAATTATTATATTTTTTATTATATACATATTTATGATATATAAATTAAATTTAACATACAAAATTAGAAAAGCAGTTGCGAATCTTGTTTTACTGCTGAAAAAGATAAAATTAGACAATTCTGACAATTGAAAAACAATATACATAGTATAACAATTTTTCTCATGAAAAATGTAAGAAAGTCGTTTTGAAAGAAGTTATACGAATTTTAACTTCGTTCTTAAGAAATCATTACGCTTGATCCCGTTTATTAAAAATTCTCTTCTTTTAAATTAGAAAGCTTGGAAAAAATCTAACGACCCGTCGCTAAGATTATTCTTCGCAGTTAGTCGCGCTAATATCTCAATCGCTCGAATCGGTTTTCGTCAAGGCGGAGGGTATTACCGTTGGTGGCCGATAATACTCTCGCGAGTGGCAATTTTGCCTGCTGCTCTCAGGGCCGGCGTACGCACGATACGCGAAGTCGTCAGGAAAGCGCTGCTGCGGCCATTACAACTCTTACCGTGGCGGTTCGCGCGGCGCGTCAAAGAGCGCTCATTAAATGCTGGCAATTAACTGCGGGCCACGTCCCGGGGCCCCGAGTTCTCTCGCTTTCCCGCTCCCCTGGCATCCTCCACCGTGCCCTTCTCGGTCCGGTCGGCGTTCTCGGTCGCTGAATCGTGGGCCTCGTGTGCTGACGGCGACGATGGTGGTGGTGGTGGTGCTGATGGTGATGGTGATGGTGGTGGTCGAAGCTCAGGTGTAAATGCGAGCTCGAGTCGGACCCACGCGCTTTAATGGGCCTTGCCAACAAGAACGATCGGCATGCGACCCATCTATCACCCCGCGAGCTGTTGTTTAATGGTTTGCATCCTGCTTCGGTCCCACCGCCGCCGTCTTCCCTAGAGCCTAGGTGGTGACGTAGCTTAGCGCGGATATAGATATACGTCTATTTGCCTCGTGGGCATGCATGGAACTGCGGATTATTAAGTTCCTACCGGCATCACCATCCGCGTTCTGTCGGGAATCGACCTTATCATTGAAAATAAGATCTCACTCAGCTGCGCGAGCACTTTCCGTTTATATGTTCGATTTCTTCGCCGAATCCTCCAAAATCTGGAAACAATAAAAAATGAATTACATTGGGGAACAATTGTAGTGCGATTTATAGTATAATTAAATTTTCTATTTTAATTTAATTTTACACTGAGAAGAGGCAGAATCATATCCATCTCGTACATATGAGATATACTTATAACTTGAATTTTAAAAAACTATATTAGTTCGTTTTTTAGTGATACTTGCAAAATGAAAGCAGCTTCGATGTTATTATACAATTACGTTGTAACTATGATTTGCCAATCATTGACATTAAAACTCAATCGCATTCGTTACATTAGTAAGATCAACACGAGTATCACCTTGGTCCCACGCCCTGTAAGTCTTGCAACAATGTTCTCCAGGCGACCTACAGCTATCGCCGGATGATCTATGACTTAAAGATCGATGCATCGCGGTCTTTACATCGCACGGAAAAAAACTCGCGCGTTGCTGAAGCCGGTAACGCGCATACGCCTTACCGGCGCTATTACCCACGTGTGCATCAGGGAATTTATCAACTTCTCATCAACGACCATTACCTTTAAACGTTGTTCTAGATGATGCTCTAAATATCCTCACTCGTACACAGATATCATGGAAAATGATTTACGAGTGTAATCCCATCTTGGGAAAGTTCCCTCATAATTAACAGCGGAATCTTACGTTACGTTAATAATACGTGAAACTCGCGGCGGCTCTTGCGTAAGGTTAATTACTCGGTAATTAGAAAGCTTTGAATTATCTTTTGCCGCCAGAAATAAAACTGAGTCTTTGATTGCCAAATATCTGTGTCGTTACGCCAATTTTAATGATTTATTTACTACTGTAAGATATTACGTATCCTTTTTCAGTCGCTCGTTTTGCTCATAATTTCATATTTATGCAGTGATTCGTTGCATTCAAAATTCAGATATTTAAAAATTATTCGCCTTTTGATATAAGTACTTACATTAATTTTTTGTGTATAAAAAATATGGAATACAGATTATTACAGTTAGAAAAAAAAAATTAATCTTTAGGGATCCCGAAGTAAAGTCAAAGCATTTCAGGGTCAAATTTCAAGGTAGTTTTTACAAAAAGTTGAATGCTTGAATTTACTGTTAAATTAAACGGGCATTTATACGACATGCTGTTTCGTCTTTGTGGGTCTAATAGTCGCGTGCACATTTCTATTGACGCCGTTACGAATAAATTGTCGGAAGCATCTCGATACTCACAGGGACGCAAACTGTTACTATTGTGCGATATAAAGAACTCAGTCAAAATAAATCAATGCATGAATAAAACAGTTGCAAGCGACTGACCTAAATAAAATAGATGGTCGCATCTTGAAATACGCAAACAAACAAGATGAATAAACGAACAATTATAGGAGGGTTGTTGACCTTGGAGAATATTTTTGTCCCAAAGAATCGTCCTTGGTGACCTACTTTTACAAATTTGTGAAACGAACTTCAAAGGGTCATAGCCTTGACAATTTTGACAATATGCTGATCCAAGGCTGTTCTGGCAATAAAAATGAGGATGTTTAGAATGGAGAATGTATCCTTTTTAAGGCGAAAAGAAGAATTTTATAACTGAGGAAACTCCTGTTAAAAAATATATATATAAGAGGATGAATCGACAATAACAAAGAGTAAGTTTTAAACTATAACTCTTACACTAAAAGACTAGTTTTGCTGAAGTATATAAAAATTAGGCTAAATACAGATCTGAAAATAATTATGTTGGACGCTGAAGCTGGTGGTTAAAATGCCAAAACTTTTTGCAACATTATCATCATGCTTGTGTGTCCTATATAATTATTTTAATGATCCAACGCAATTATTTTCAGAGTATTTTTGTATCTGGTCTAATTTCTATATACCTACTTCAGCAAAACCGTTCTTTTCGTGTATCTTTGGCGAATGAATAATTCCTATTATTCATTTATTTTAATATTATAAGCGTAATAACTAATAAATCATGCGTTCACTAATTTTTACAAACCGTAGCATATTTTGGATTATTTAAAAAATTATATCATTTCGATTTATTTGGTTTCCTTATGCATGCGTTTAGGAAAATGGTTTATTGTGTCCGAGAGACCTTAAAAACATATCTTTCGAAAAACTTCGTAGGGGTTCTTTTTGGTCGAGAAGATAAGAGTTAGGCGCGCGATTTTCCCGAGGGAACGGCAGTGACACTTTTGACACCTCGTCGTTATTGATCAACATGGCTCGTATGGCCATCTTAACGTTTAGAGACGCGTGCCCGGGGGAAAAGGATTCCTAGAGATCGAATGGGGTTGCCTCACATCGGGGGACTGCTCACGAGTCCGATTGCAGCGAAGTGCTGAATTGTGGTTTTCCGAGATTGTTCGCGACGATCGATCCCGGCAGACCGATTGATCACACGAACTATATAGGCTATTCGCAGAAAATCAGAGATCACACGGAGATCACTTAGATTTGTAAAAGCCATTTGTGGCGAACGATCGTCGATTGAGATACGATTATTGGACGGATATATTCGCCTGTGCGCGCGAGTGCAGTCGCTTCGTAGATATTTCAATAGGTCGACGATGGCTGCGATTTATCCTCGGTCACATAATCTTCCCGAGAACGAGATTATTACAGACATCATTTCTACAATTTCAATTTGCGAGGCCGTTGATTTGCGCAACTGTGTTAAGTGAGTTAGAAAAATATCTCCTCGCGAGTTCTCTCACTGCGGATCCGAGGGTTAACGATGGACGAGATGCCCCAATCCGGCTCCAGCCTGTCTCGTCGTGGGAGCGACGATTATTAGAATCCACGAGCATCGGTGCTAATGTCCCCCCGAACAATCTCGTGATTTTCCACAGCGCATAAAAGCTACGATGTTTGCTGTCTTTAATGGCACATAACGCCGTTACAGCCTCCTCCACGGCGCGTATTCGCCGTGTGACCATCCGCCATTTTTATCTCTTCTTTTTCTTTCTTCTTTTCTTTTTTTCGCTTCCCTCGCCGTCGCTTGACGCGACAATTAACTTCGTGTGCGATAATATTCGCGGGCACGCTCGTATTTTCCCGGGATTAGCGCGTTTAGAGACAACGGGCGAACTGTACCCCGCGTGACAGGTGCGAAGCGAATTTCAAGCATGAAGGTTGAATCTGCGGTCGGAACAGATTCTTATATTGTCGGATAAGACAATGAGTTATTTAAGTCTTAAGAGAAATATTTTTTGCATATGATATTCAAGCGTACAAGCGATTTCTTCGCGGAGCGCATTAGTGAAAAATGACAGTTCATGTGTATGATTTCTTTTTATATTATGCTTCTGTATTAGATATTGAGATATAATGAAAAGTCGTCATTTAGTGTAATTATATCAGTCTTCCGTGTCGGACAATTTTCGATCATGAAAATTCACGTTCCATTCTTTAGTCAAAGGCAAAGATTTCTGTTTGGCTCGAAGAATAAAAGATCTCAGACGCAGCCTCCAAGAGCAAAGGCCTCAGGTCGCGGCATCGAAACAAACGGGTGACCGTTCTTTATAATTAGACTATCTTTCATCCCATAGCTCCGAGAAGACTCGCGGCTGTCGCGCGCAAGATTCTTGAAGATTCCGCACCGATCTGTTCTGCCGGAGCGTTGAAATCCAACGCGGCTATCATCTATATTTTCACAGGGCGTGCACCGCGATGCGCCGGGCGGCGCGATAGCACGTGTCGTGATTGTAGTTTATGGGGAGCTGATTGCGGGAGCGTGGGACGACGCCCGGTTGGCGAACGGTGGATACGGGGCACCCGCCGTCTCCGGACGCCATTCATCGGCGCACTTACACGTATCCATTCCGGTGTCAGTGTTTCGTTTCGTAATCATTAAGATATGCATTATCCCCCTAATGACGAGCCGGCGAGGCGCAACAGCGTGTCCGATCGGGGTGACTCTCTGCGAAGTGCGGCGAGGGCGCGCATAAATTTCGCGTAAAATGCCCCCCCCCCCCTCGCGTCCTCTCTCTCCCCCTCTCTGCCTCCCGATCTCTCTCGCGCTCTCGATGCTGATTAATGCGGATCGCACGTCGACCGGCCCCGCAATTAATTAGCTCTCTCGTGATCCACGCGGGAAATCCCCGACGTTGATCGACGTGGCGGTTAATGTGCGACTTCTCGACTCGGATAATACATTAAATCGCCTCTCGCAACGTGAGATATCGCCCTGTCGTTATCGCGTGTTGACATTGTAAATTACAGCGGTTTGATTTCGATGCGTAAATGACTTCGGAATTAATTTTAGGACGACACTTCTTACAAATTGGCCCAAATTCCAAGAAACGTGAATGTCTTCCGTTCTGCCGTCTTTCCGTAAAATTCCATCATTTTTCTTTCGGGATTTTTAGCGACGTTTTCTTTGATGACGTGTGAGTCTTTTAAATTTAAGAGCCGTAAACCGTTGAAAATTTTCCTCTCTTTCACCGGAAGAACTCTATATACTGTGCAGAAACCATCTTTAACACATTACGATGTTTTGTCATTGTGGCGCGCGTTAATGTCTCGACGCGGCGCGCCATTTCGAACGTTACTCCTGTGCGAACAAACAGAATTATCGTCGTAGCCGATAATACGCGTCAGGGCTTGACGCGTGTATTAATGCGGCCGCGCGTCCTAAGGGTCCATTGTGCCAGATTGCGATGCTCGTCCGAGCGAGCTTTTCGGTCCGAAGTGATTACACGCGAATCAGCCGAGGTAGCTTCGCCGCGGCGGGGAGCCCGTCCGAAATGTCTAATGTCCCAGGAAGGAAGAAAGAAACGGCGATCGTGCTCCGCATGCGTTCTAGGACCCCTTGCAATGTGTTTCTTTTTTTTTTTCTTTTTTTTTTTTTTTCGTTTGTTTGAAGCCGACTCTTTCGCTGAGACCTCTCTTTCCCGTTGCCCGCGCTTTCCCCGTTGTCCATTCCTCGACGACGATTCTCACGGACGGAGAGTTACGACAATCGTTCCTTCTTCTTTTTACGACATTTAATTACGATCGGCATTATAATTACACGGGGATGTAACGATATCATCGCGATCGCGATTCTACACGCGACGCGCCGGCATGAGAAAAATCAAGGACGCGGAAAGAGGAGCGCGTCCGTGCAAAATATCGGTTCCGCCGCGTCGCGTCATTTTCCGCCTTCGTCTCGGGCGGAAGCTTTCAACGGCGGACGCGGCGGAATCCCGCGATTCAATTAAACGCACGATTACTCGGTAAACGTAATTAATTTTAATTAACGATGCGCGCCGAATCGCGGCCGCGGGATCGTGTATAGCGGCCCTCTCTGAACCTCGCACGATCTCATTGGCGGGATCACGCGATGCGTGATGGCACGGAGGCGGTCGGGCGGGTTTCACGACGAGAGTGTCGACGGCCGCGCGGCATTCGTGTGAATCAAAGAGAGATTAGATACATAAATTTATATTGGGAGCCCCGCTTTCGCCCTCTCCCCGTTACGAAATTGACGATGGATTCATAAGTTGTATCGCACTATTTTAAAATCTGCAACTACCTTCCGACATCGGAAGGTGTTGGGCGATTATTCGGCGTGCGATTAACATGCTGTTAAGTAGCATAATATATTAATATTAAATTTTTTTCATTACAATAAAGTCAGAATATACATAGAATTGGATCAGCGCAAAATGTTATAAGTATATTTATAATTATAATAAATATTAACTGTCGGATTAGGAATCAATAAATCAATTGTATAAATGTTACGTATCAATAATGCGAATTGATAATCTTGCCGGAGTAAAAAAATTAAAAACGATCACATTTTTATCTTAAATTGTGGATAAATAAAAATCAACATTGCATGTCATTTCTGTTTACGACATAAGATTAAAATAAAAACCAGTTAGAATTATACGTTTCTTATATTTATAAACCAGTTTAAGGATTAAAATCAAGATTGATAACGATACACCATGAGATGCGAAAATATCGAGCGAGCCCGCATAAAAACTGGATCTTTTTTTCAAACTTGAATCCGGTGAACCGCATCATAATGGAAATCGTCATGCTGATCAGTCATGGGAAACTCGATATCAATATTATCGGTCATCGGGAGGGTAAGCCGAGCGCGAACGCGACGAACGCGTCGTCCGCGTTCGTGGGTGGTGTGGTGGAGGAAGGTCTGTTCTCCAAGGCGGAGTTGGACGTGCGACCACCTCCAACGCGGCGAGATCACCTGGCAGGTGACCAATGCAGCGGCGCCGATAAAAGCCATGAAAGAGCGCGGCTGGGACCGTCGGCTGGTCGCTTCTCAAAGGGGGCCCCACGACGGAAGGCGGAGCCTTCCGTCGGAGGCTTACCTCCTTTCATGCCTGCCTTTCGTTTCTTTTACGTGCCCTCAACGATCACGACCGCAGGAACCGGCAGTTCGAGTCGAGACCCCGGAGCCAACAGGTCCGTCGTCCTGCTTTGCGTCCTGTAGAGCAAAAATTAAAAAAAAGAAAAAAGGCGGCGAGGCCTCTTTTCATTTCGGCCCCTCGCGGCGAAGGCGAAGTCGAGTGTCACCGTTGTCGCCGCTGGACGCTGCTCGTCGTCCTTGGACGTACGCGAGAAAGTGAGGATTCGATTTGTGAGTCAGGATTGTGAGCGGGACACGAAATCGACGGAAGTGAGGATCCTTGGTGTGGTTGTTGCTGCTGGTGACTGAGAGAGACGGAGAGAGGAAGAAACGGAAGAGATTCTTCCCGGAAACAGGAACAGCTAGATGGCAGTCAGCACTATCAACATGGCACCTTACTTCACTGGCTATCCTTTTCAAGGTAAGAATTTTGATAATTATGAAGATACTCAACACTGTGCGAAACGTAGAGAATAACTTTGCAACAGTTTTCTCCTTTATGGATATCTTAGCTTCTAAATTATTAATTTGAAATTTTACGCAGCCCACAAAATCCAACTATACAACTCCGACGCAATAAGATTGACTAAAAGATATTTAAATTACGTCTATAAGAAGATTTATATTTATATAAATATTTATAAAAGATATATTTACAGTTTGTGCGAGAAACAAAACTCTGAATGATTTGCCAATAATATAATAGAGATAGAATATAGATAATGTAATATAGAAGTAACATAGTGTATTAAGTGAACCAATAATTGTACTAATAGTTGCTCATTTATGTACCAATGTATATAACAATATGTAAGAAGAATATATAAAATAATTTATATAATTTTTTGTGTAATTATAGCAATTTTTGGTTTAAAAGTTAATTAAATGTCAAAACATTTTTCGCAATTCTGTGACTTTGCTAATATGTAAATTATATGAAGATTTCATCTTTTTACGATATATAAATATCATTGTATTTTATAGTATAATTAGATATATTTATTTTCGCAAAGTTTATATACAAACTCGTTAAAAAAGTACATATAATTTTTATCTGTAGATTAAGTTTGACAACTTATGTGCTCCTATTTAGTACATTCAAACTTCACAATAACACAAACTTTTCTCCCAAAAATTGGCTTTGTTGATATTTAATTTCGCAAAGGAAAAGTAACGTCTTCCGCTACGTACGCTCTTAGAAACTCTTCCTCGTTGAGAATATCTCGCAATTAACGTCAGTGTGAGTTTCACGACGACGCCCGCCGGCGCAACGATGCCGCAGATATTTTACAGCCGATGTTAATGGTTTTACGATGCGCTTTGACTGAATTATTTGTTGTTCGCCAGTGCACGCATGTACGACTCCCATTGGGCGAGTCTGCTATCTTTATAACACCGTTACTATACATGCGATTTGTGCACAATCGGTCCGGATGATTAATTCAGGCCGAGAGCTTATCATCCGCGAAAATTTACGGTATTTGATGCCGTTACGTAATCCGGATGTAAAGACTAATTTGTATAGACGTTAGTATTTTGCAATGTAACGCGTGTTGACTATGATGATTTAAAGGCCTGGACAGAGAGGGGCAGAGAGAGAAGGAGAGAGAGAGAGAGAGAGAGAGAGAGAGAGAGAGAGAGGAAGAGATTGTGCATATATAAGTAATCGCACAGAAGCCCGTACGTCGTTCTGCATTGTGTAATTCATGAGTTATGGAACAGTGCGCGACGCTGATGTATAAATTCCAAGGGGCAGTTCAAGCTAAGGGGTAACGGAGCTAAAGAATATGCTGTTTTCATTCTTTGTGATTTATTACGTATTTAATCAAAGAGGTCAACGTTTCCACTTGGTAAAGAAGCAATAGAAAAATAATATAATTGTCTTGCTTTTTATTTCAATTAGTCAATAATTGTCGTAATAAATATAATAATAATATGTCGTACATTATTCGTATTCCTAATCAGTCGTATGACTTATCTTCTAGAACTAAATAGTTAGCTAATTCTTTTCTTTATTTCTTCTACACAATGCAGAAAGAGGACTCCGGACGGTGAACGCCATCCGGATCGCTTTCACTCACGTGCGCCTTTAAATCTCGATTGTTTATCCATCGTTTCCGAGGAGTGTACGAGAAGAGGAAGAGAGAGAGGGGGGGGGGAGGGGAGAGGAGAAGCCACTTTCGAATAAAGTTCGATATACAGGTCCGCGTGTGGTGGGCGTCGGATCGTCGGAAAGAGTCCCGGGGTGGTGCCCGTACCCGTGGGTACCTAATGTCTGATATCGGATAGGCCCCGGGCGACGGCACGTTGATTGAAGTCCTCGCGCGACTCGGAACTCACACCGCACGCACTAAGTACATGCATCCCTTCGGTACATGCGGTTACTCCCACTCAGGTACGCGCGTGCACCTTCCGCTCTCATCCTCCGATTCTCCATCCGGGGGACCGATCCGCCGCGGCATTCGTATCGCGGTAGATTGCGTAATCGACACAACGGAACTTTCGTCGCTCCGCTCCGCTCGATGCCTGCAAAATTGACCCTTTGCTCCCTTGGAATCGTCTCGTGCCGCGCGCCGCTCGGCAATTATCGTTAAGCTCGCCGCGATAAACGATATATCTTTTATAAAAGAAAGTTGTATACCAATATACCTATAAGAATGCTATAATAATATTTAATAAATGATTAATATTCTTTCTCTGTGCTTCAGTTATACATATTGCTAACGAATGAAAAATTTTTCTTTCGATTCAAGTGAAATATGAAATAGAATATTCATATTTCTATTACGCTTATCTATAAAGGAATTAAATATCTATATTTTTTGTATACAATATAATACATAGAGAGAGTCACATTCGAAGAATCTTTCCCACCAGATTCCCCCAAAGATTATCGATTCATTCATCGATAATCAGGAAAGATGAAACGATGCGCGATTGAAATGGCTCTCCGCGGAGAGGCTCTGTTGTCGTAATTGGATGATGATCAGCTACAGCTAAAAGCCTCGAATAACAAATTTAGCGATCGCATCCCGTAATAATTCCTGCGGGCCGTGAGACGTTCCACATACTTCATCACGCGAAAATTGGAGCGATCGCATACCTTGATGTGACCCTTAATGAGATTCAATTAATACCCAGATAGCACGTTGTTATTACTGTTTAAGAGCGATAAGGGGACCGCGACAAGGGGCACGAGGGATTACCATAAAGAAAAGTCCCGTGGAGAGCGTAATTGCACGGCTGCGCCGCGCCGCTCGTGAACCGCGGTAGTGTCGCGGCCGCAAAGTACAGTGCGTCGGGCTCTTCGCACGTAATAATTTATCGAGGCCGATCGGCCGGGGAAAAAGGTTTAATTGACGTCTCACGACACGCGGATAATGAACGGCCGGCGACGTACGCCGCAATTATTTCGGAATTCTCTAAGCACGTCCGTGTCTAAGAGCACCCTCGGCCCCGACGAGGACGCCGCTGCCTCGCAGGTAAAAATTAACGATGCGCGACGCTTCGTCGAGCGAATTCAAATCAGACACGGGCCGTCCCCGCTATCTCGTCACGTCCGCACGCGGATCATGGACATTAAGTCTTGATCGCCGACAACAATCAATCGCCCGTTATCAATAATTCATGCTGGAAATTAGTTCTTTCGACCGTTTTACCATGCGGTATATCTCGCCCAACACCCGTACAGGGTGGTCCATCGCGCGGACCCGTACGAGTCTCGCGAAAATGACTCTGCCGCGCGATAGCGCCATAATAAATTACGCGAGGACATAAATCATTCACCAGCTGCTTGGATTAAATTGTCCTCCCGAGACAATCGTTCTGTTACAGCCGAACTTAATGTCGCGCCATTTAAAAAAAAGGAGGAAATCGTCCGGAGAGGAAGAAGAGAGATTCTTCTTCATTGTATTCAAGCGTCCATCTTTTGTGTTTCATCTTCAATTTTCATCGTACGCTGCTTTGCCATATTTTAGAGTTGAGACAAGGCTCGTTGATTCCACGTACAAATCACTTCGATTTCCGATCGAGGAGAATATAAGGTAACGCGCGGGGCGCTTTTGCAATCGATACCGGGACTAATCGCGCGAGACGCATAATGGGAAAACCCGCGGACGCACGTAGCGGCGGTGCGTTCCGCAAGAACGCGCCGAACAATATTCATCGGCGGTTAGGGAACAAAAACGCGAGTAAAGGGCTCGCTCGCACGGGCGGTAACATTCAACTTTCGATTCCGTGACTCGAGTTACGATCGGCGGAGTTCGCAAGAGCGAGCCTCGCGCGAGAATGCAATGATCGCGGCGCGGCGCGGCAAGCGCGTATGTATATGCATGCATATGTACGTCTTGCACGTGCGACGAATGATAGCCTGGCATTCTTGGCATTCGCCTCGTGCCACTGTTCACATTTTCTTAGCCATTTTTGTAAAGTTGGACGGGATCTCGACAGGAAAATTACTACTTATTAGATTTGTCTTCAATTACCTTTCTCGTGTTATTTCATTGATATTAGTGCCAATTTTTTGAGATACGAGAAAATACTTCAATTTATTAATTGTTTTCTGAGACTATAACTGCGGCCTACTGAGATTTCTGTATATACTTTCTATTTCTATTAATTGTGACAATTTCTGTATCTTTACGCTCTTTTTAGCTTTCTCGGCTAATTATTAAATTTACTTAACATTTCACTCGTCGACTTCAATCTCTAGTCAAGTTTATGCATTTTTTCAGAAATTCATTAAGAATATCCGCGGTATTCACGCGCTTCGCACCAAAAGCTCGTCGTCGTCGTCGGCGGCGGCGGCGGCGGCGGCGGTCGGCGCCTTTTGATCTTGCCTGTAATCCCGTCGGGCCCCGCGGCCTGACTGACGTCATATACCGGAGAGGTGTCCGGCGGGACCGTAACCCGGCCTATACACACCGGCACGACCGGTGGTGTGTGGGAGTGTGTGCGTTGCACGCACTCGCGGATATGTCCTTACCGAGCGCGAGAGAGGCCAGGAGGGGGGCAGGGGGAGAGAGCAGTGGCGCGGGGTCGCGGAGGGGAACGGAGGGGGATGTAAATCTCTGGGGCCCGTGATGAACGACGAAACGGGACTACTTTTGTGCCGGAGAGCTCGACGCGGCCCGGGAAGGGGGTCGCCTTTTGAATTACGCCGTGGTAATTAGCGGACTCCTTAGGCCCCGCGCTTCTCGCAGCAGGTAGCCAGCTGAGAATATATCACGAACTGGTGCTGCGCTAGCGCGCGCCGCGCCGGTCCCCGATGCGATCGTGAAAATGTTTGGATTGCCGAGGACTCGTAATCCGCCGCGCGAGTCTCGCTCGTTTCGCCTTTAAAGTCTGCCGCGATAAACATAACTCTTTCTCGTTGCTCTTGAATAATTTTGAGTGCATCGAGCGTTCTAAAGAGTAGCGTAAGAGGTAGTATAAAGTATATGGGCGGAGTCTAGATGTGCATCTTTACGTATTACTTCTAGAATGGAGATGATTTTTATGGAATTTTAAAGAAATAATCGAATAGCCGAAATTATAAATTAACGGTGCAACATATTAAGAAATATATATATTTTATCGGAAGAATTCATCGCAATACGTAGATTCGATTTATCATCAGGTTGCAAAATCTCCGCTGTGAAGAACCTCACGGTCGGCAAAATCTCCGATCCGGAGCATCGCGCGCAGCATCCGCGAGACGCGCATAAGTGCGCCTCTTCTCTTATGCAAAGCTTCCTTTATGTAAATAGGTACAAACACGCAGGGATACGGCCGTGCCCCCGGTTGTCCGTCGAGGACTTCCCCCATTGTCCCCGCGCGCGAAAGAGAGAGCGCTTTTAAGGCTCCTCGGGGCTTTTAAGGCCCCTTCGCCTCCGAGCGTCCCTCCAGCGTCCCCTCTGTCCCCTCGCCCGTGGCTTTTACTACTCCGTGCAAAACCAGGGCCGTAACTCGTGACGCGGCTCTCTTTCGTGGTTTTCTGAAGCACGCGAGGTCCACCTTCGCGGCGCGTCATAAGAGCCACCGCATCCGCGCGCATCTCATTCCCGCTTCTTTGCCCCCCTTTGCCGGCCGGGGCCGCTCTGCCCGTCGCGTGTGACGCCGTTTGTTTGACTTCGTGATTATAATTAAGTTAATTAAGGGGATGTCGTAGAAGGAGAGGGAGAGGTGGGCTAATTACCGGTAATTAGCGGTGTTTGAGCGGCACCTCGCGTGTCGCCGCGCTTTGTCCGCTAAGCGGCCCTCTTTTGCGCGAGTTGAACCTCCCGTTCTTCTTCTTCTTCTTCGCCACTTTTGTGCGCGGCTCCGCTTATTCTCATTTAGAAAAATGGCCACGCCACTCGCGCGCACCGTCGTGCTGCATTGTACCGCGGCGCCGAGAAAACACGCTATTTTTCCTCTGCTTCGTTACCATCCAGCGCACGGTAGTGTTTTCTTCATGTCTCACGTGGTGCAACGTATTTAGCTGCATACACATGATTTCGAACGTCGATAATTGCTTCGTAAAAACGGTCCGTAGAAAACTGCAATGTGTATAGTGCGTTTTCTGTACTTCTCGCGCCGGAAAATTGCGCCTTTTAAAATAGTGATTCCGATCCACGTCGTCGTCCGTCTTTGATGTCTCCGACACTGAAATCCGCGTGACGGTCTTTTGCGCATTCCGTTATTATTAAATAATCATGTATGACCCGTCGTTCTTCGTACCGTGGAAATAGATGTAGTACTTAGACGCCTTCGCAATGTGACGAGCGATTATGGTAAACAGGGTCTGCGTTATTGCATTTGCAGGACAGGGTCGCGTGAACCAGCTGGGTGGTGTATTCATCAACGGCCGTCCATTACCAAACCATATACGTTTGAAGATCGTCGAGATGGCAGCGGCCGGCGTTAGGCCGTGCGTCATATCAAGGCAGCTCAGGGTCTCACACGGCTGCGTCTCCAAGATCCTGAATCGGTATCAGGAAACGGGATCGATCAGACCCGGCGTGATTGGCGGCAGCAAGCCGCGAGTCGCTACGCCGGAAGTCGAGGCGAGGATCGAAGATCTTAGGCGGCAGAACCCTGGGATCTTCAGCTGGGAAATACGCGAGAAATTGATAAAGGTCCGTTGATATCGCCCATTACGCTTGATATAATTTTTCTTTCAAACGAGGGAGGGAGAAATATTTTAAGACGAGATATTTTGTACCACTTTTCTCTTTCTGATATGTAAATAAACGCGAAACTGCAAAGATCTAAAGTAAAATAATGGAGATGCGCTAAAAACAATCTAAAAATATACGGAATACTTAAAGTTAAGTACTTCTCCCGCGTTTCTTTTTGTAGCCTTTCTAAATGTGTCTCCATGATGTTATGTTATCTGAATCGTTCGAGAATGCACAACGACGTGTTTAAATCGTAAAAGAAATGTCAGTCGAAAGAAAAATTATGCTAACTGGTCCAACGCGGTTCTGCCAGCAGGACGGAGTCTGCGACAAAGCCTCGGCACCTTCCGTATCAAGTATCACCAGACTTCTACGTGGACCAGCCAACCAGACACGTCCCGGCGATGACCTACGCAGAAATCACTCTATCGATGGTATTCTTGGTGAGTGTGTTATGAGTAACATTTATGATATTATTGCGATCTGATCTACCGAGATCTATCGAGATCTATCGAGATTTTCTACATGTATACAGTCTTAGCGGATCGTCGTCGAAAAAGATTTGCAGAGTTTATGTCCGCAATACGTATCGTCGTTTTAACGCTGCATAAACCACCGGGCGAACGCAAATGAAGCGCCCGGGGTTAATCGAACGATAAGCGTAATTACAGCGTAGTCGTGTGCTAAGTTAATTGAGGCGAGGCGGCCGCGACGATCGATCGTTTGTAGCCCGCGTGCCCGAGGTGCCCGATCTGAAATGCGACTCGACGTTTTTTTTTTTCATACGCGTAATGCGGAAGTCGTTATCCTTTCGTGTAAAGTTTCTAAAGTCGAAATTTTTAACGCGTTTTATAGTCACGAGCTCATATATGGAAGTAATAAGAGGTTCAATTACCGATCGTATCAAGAGACGTTATTACCCGGGATACTTTTCGCGACGTTATCGTTTGTATTTCGTTTAGTCCGCATTCGCGTTGAACGTAACGCGAGCCTCGAGATGCGTGCGAGCGAGTTTGTACACGCGCGAATTCTACTTATTTGAAGTATCCAGCAGTTTCGTGGCCACGCTGGGGATTGGTAGGAATATAGGTCCGGTCGGCGAAACGTAAAGGGGAATTCCTTTCTTTTTTATTTATTACCGGCGGTAAGGGGCGCGAAGAAATATTAGACGTCCCGTGGCGCGTAGATGTGTCGAGTTTATTACCTTGTCGGGAAGATTTAGTTTTGATTAGACGTATGCCCGAGATTGCAACTCTTCGCGCAAGGACTCACGGGCCGTACTCGACCTGTTGCTTCCTGTCGCATTGGCCAATCTTTTTGCGGTCTCGTGAAAGCGACTTTCATCTTCTTGATGTTATTCATATTGTCCATATATGAAAATGATCTCCATTGCAAATAAATATTATACAGCGCGATTTAATGAGATAATTAAATGTGAACTAAATCTGATAAATATATTGAAATACGCGGGGCGGTACAAAAGAATTGTTACTATCTTCGTTATGAGGACAGGTTCTAAATAAAGCGATCGATTATTTATCACCGATACATATATTTTACGTGGAGAATCGTTTATAATAAGTCGCGATGTCGAGATAAAATTGCCCCGAAGGTAGCGATTCAATTATGAATACTTCGATAAAAGAGGCCCGAGGAAGACGCATAGATCTCTATTGGGTCCGCCGCGTTTGCAGGCCGGGTAAATTATGTATTATGATTCGAACAAAGGGGAGGAACAAGAAGAAAGTCAGGCGCTGTTCCCGCCGCTAATGCACCGCCGCGAAAGGAAAGGAGACGGAGACGGAGAAGAGGAGGTAGAAGCAGGGGAGGACGAAGTCTTTTTGAACCTCGGACGTAGAACCTTCGTTCTTTTTATTCGATCGCAGCGTGATGGTTTAGCACTGAAGTCGGCGATGTATTGGATCGGCTTATATGACGCGCGCGGATGTAGCGTGGCTCGGGCGGACGAGGAGAAAGAGCGAGATAACTTGAGCGATTGATGCACTAATGCGATAATAACACATCATCATAGTCAAGTAACAGAATACGAATAAGGATATCTTCCTAGATGGTTTCTCCCTCCGCGAAAATATACTTACTTCGCCTAGAGCTTGAATACAAGCGCATATAATTTACACACATAATTTAATTTTCTATTAATATATTTTTCTGTCGTATATTAATTACCTTTCTCGAGAGGAGAACACCAGAAGTTAAACGAAATGGTTAAATACAAAGAGTTAAATGGCGACACAAAATGAGAAATAGCGAACAATCTAGTATTCTAGTAGATCGGACGCACGATGCAATCAACGCGAGGGAACTTAAAAGGTCTCACAAATACACACTTCAATCATTTCGTCCCGCGTCCATTCATCTTCCGTACACCTTTCTCCCCCTCGCCGCGGCGGCGTGTCAGTCCCAGAATGCAAGATCACCCGGCGGTTCCGGTAGCCAGGAACACGCGCGATAAATAACCCCGCGGTCTGTCTCTCCGTAAAAGAAATCGGGAGGAACGATCGCGCGGGACGACGAGAGAGGGAGAGAGAGAGAGAGAAAGAGAGAGACAGATTCCCGGGCGTAGCGCGTGAGCAGAGAAGGTGGAAGTCAGGTGGAGCAGAGTCGGAGGAACGTGAAAGAAGAAATCGGGTGGAACGACTAAGAGGAGCGAGCAGTCGAACCTGAGGAACGGGACGACGAGGACGAGACGTGGATTCCACGACGGTGCGAGAAGGACGGAGGGACCCCCGCGCGCATATATATACCCTACGCGCGGCACCGGCCGCGGCGTGTGGTCTTCCTCGGCTTCGTACCCGGCCGCCTGTGCCTCTAATCTTACAAACCGCCAACAACACACCCCGTGTACCCGCCGTGTTGTTCGCGGAACGCAACGGCACCCTCTATTGATTTAGATGCTCTTACTGCGGGGCAGATATTCCGTGATTGAGACCTTCGCCGCGTTCACCGCGCGGGACGGCGATCGCCTCGCCTGTCATCTCTCCGATAGTAATTGTTTAGCATCTCGACCTTTCCCACCGATGTTTACCTCGACGTTTCTCAGTAAATGCGCGACGTTTTGCAATTGCCATACCGCTCTCGGTTCAAAAGCTACAGAAGTCTTCAGTAATTAACAATCCCGTTATAAACGCCTCGTGCAAAAATTTCTTCCTTGTATACAACATTTATATAAAAATTTTCTTCTATAAAATAGTACTAGCTCTTTATTTTTACACCATTATTATAGAATGTATAAACGTAATTTATTTGTAAATTTTCATGTAAAGCAAGATTTTTTCTTGAGATAAATTTAATAAGGTATATGCTAATAAATTTTAGCATAATTTTAAATTTATTTTATAAAAGCTGCAGGTATGATTGCAATCTTTTTTTGATGTATGTGGTCAGTAACCAAATTCATGGAGTATCGGCGGGCGCTGATAGCTCGTGAAAAGCGTTAGGATCCCGAAAAATCGTTAGCCATGCTCCTGAAAGCCTCGCGACGATTTACGAGCGCGCGGCAGTCTTTAATCTGGCAGGAACCGCCGTGCACTTGGTGGTTCTCGAATTCTGGCTGATGTTCGCGCAGGTGCTATTGATTTAGACGTTTATTCCCGTCGGTCGATCGCCTTAATCTAGGAATAAGCGAGTAAATTACGGAGTACAGCTACATAAAAAGAGATATAGAATCTCCAACGCTACCTCGATTACGCCCAGAAATTAACGCTAGCCAAAAATGTATTCGCAATTTATAAGAAACTGTGTTATTATAGAAGGAAGTTTTGGATGTCTAACAATAGTAAATAATTCATAAACTTTATCAGTGGATTTAAAAAAAAAATAAATATTCACATTAAAAAAAGTTTCGGAGTTATAACATTATCGTTGAGGTCAGCGTAACAGGGACAAACCGTGGAGAACAAATTAGGTCTGAAGGGGTTACAAATCAAACTCGAAATTCCATAAATAGTGTCTTGTGGGGCCAGGCAACGATTCCTCTTCGGAATCGGGCTTTCGTTTAGCTCGGGTGGGACGGGACATGTCAAAGAACTTAATTTCTTCGCGGCGGACCCTAATTTCTCCGGTGTTTTAGTTTAGTATAGGTTCGGCTGGGCACGGCTGTAATCAGAAGGGTCTTAATGGTGGGTTGCTGAGACCGGCGTGTGAACTGTGGGCGTGAACGACTCGCTTCCTATCTTCGGTATCTGACGTGCAGCACGTGCTGGACCGAGAGATGCTCTCACCGCTATTAAGGAACGCACGCTTGCGTTCTCTCCTCTCGGGTACCATCGGCGACGTTTTAATGCCCGAGCGGAATATTCGCGTTTTTCGTCAATGTGTCAAATTTTTACAATCGACAGGAATAATTTCATCCGTTCGGCAACAAATAGAGGCTAATAATTTACACGCAAGCCGCCTGCGAATTGAATATTTAAATAGCGAAATTTTTGATTGTCTTCAGCTGGAAGTAGCGGCGATGACTCCGACACGGAAAGCGAACCTGGCATCGCGCTGAAGAGGAAACAACGCAGAAGCAGGACCACCTTCACCGGCGAACAACTGGAGCAGCTGGAAGCGGCCTTTCATCGGACGCAGTATCCTGACGTCTACACCAGAGAGGAACTCGCACAAAAGTGAGTTTTTTTAGGAATATCTTTTATTTCATAAAAAATTAATGTTAAAAGAATTTTATATATTCGTGTAATAAATTAGTATTTAAATTAATTAGCTCGATTATCTTTGTTGTAAAATTATACGTTAAATTAAATAAATTATTATTTCTTAAAAGGAATAAAACTTGAAATTAATCCTGAATTTGTGGCTGAAATTGCACGTCGCACGGAAATTGCGAAATTATAATGTTGTAGACTTTGTGATAGTATAAACGATACATTTGCGCTATTTATAATTTTACTGACATTCGGGTGGGTGTCTTTTTTTCGCAGAACGAAGTTAACGGAAGCGCGAGTGCAGGTTTGGTTCAGCAACAGGCGTGCCAGGCTTCGCAAACAGCTGAACAGTCAACAACTGAACGCCTTCAACATGAGTCTACCCTTCCAGACTCAACACTACGGCAACGGTGCCGAGAGCTATCAGAGCTACGGGCAGGCGAGCGTTGCTGCCGCCGCGGCAACCACCGCCGGCTATTCTCAGCATTACAACTATGGGGAGAACTATTACGCGGCGCAGCAGCAATGGCCGCGGGCGACTCCGGACAATTACGGGTAAGTTTTAGCGACTAATGTATTACATTTGTCAAAATGTCTGTTTCATAAGTAGACCAGATGGAAAGGAGAGAATCGCGTGAACGATTGGAATGTAGATATTGTCACGAAAAATCGTTGATTTAATAATCGCTCCCTCGTCAGTCTTCCGTGTACTATATGCACTTTTTTCACAGAATCTTTTATTATTATATCTTTTCAGATTTTATGAATAGCGTTTTTTTTTCTAATGTAAAAATTTAACCGTTAAAATCTGCAATTCTACGTTCCTCAAATTAATTTGCGCATATTTTTAATAAAATCTAATTTTATTATTTTTTGGTTCTTATTTTTAACTTATAAAATTTGATAACTACTCGTTTTCCGGACGATTGGAAGTCACGTGGATACGTAATCGAACGCGGTATCTCTCGTCCGTGAACACCCCCGCAATGATTATCCACGATCGATCGTCACTACTACCTCGCGGCGCTCGCGCTGCCGCGATCGGTTAAAGCTGGATCACGGCACAGGTATATATACACCCTGCGTCGAAGGATCAAGACCCGGGTTGGATTATTAGCCGGTAGCGTTTCATTACGGAGGCCCAAGAAGCAACATAATTGAGGACCACACAGAAAACGTGTCGGCAAGGCCCCGTTGCCTCTCTTTCTCTCGCTTCCTCGTTCTCCGCGCTTATACCGTCTCTATGCCTCTCTCGCTTTCTCCTTTCTCTCTCTCTTTCGCTCTCTATCTCTCTCGGCTCAAGTGAATCGGCTCGTCCGCTCGGCGTGTAACAACACACTGTAGCAACCCGGCCACCGGAGCAACCTGTTATTACGCCACAATGGCTGAATTAATTGTTCGAAACACCCCGGCTTCGCCGTCTTTATCTCCGCGCGTTGCCGCGCGCGCCTCTTTCTCGCGGCGATGTTCCGAGCTTACTGTCTCGCTCGAGGCCTCTTTGGGGCCCTCGTACAACAGCGGACTGGACTCACCGTGCCGAGCCATCACGTGGCGCGCAGAGCAGAGAAGCTTCGCCGGGTTTTAAACACATCCGGGATAATACTCATGGACCCCCGGTGGAGCGTCAGCCTACCTCGTGGGGGGTCGCTCTTCGTGGTCGGCTCTCTCAAGTTCGAGCGAACGATTTCGTTGCTGTCGATGGTTGTCGCCGTTTTTGCCGTTTCACGTTGAGACAAGCGCAGAAACTACGGAACGTTGTGTCGTGGAACGACTATGAGTCACGCTAACAATGTGCATTCCATCTGAGAAGAAGAAAACAAGTCGCTCGACACCCGGAAATGTCAATGTTGCTTTCGGCTAATGTGGAAACTGTCCCGAGACGTCGGAAAATATGAGGTCTGCTAATGATGGATTTTTTTAGCGGAAAGAAAGAGACAAATTTTGAAAGGTATTTCTCTAATTCAAATAGCACGGAGGCGAGACACGTTAAGAAGTAATCGCGGGTCAATTTAATTCTGACGAAAAAGTCAAGACAAATTTTAATATAGAAAAATCAAGAGTTTAATTAAGAGTGAAATTAACGTTTTTCTACATTTTTTAAAATGATACAGTCAAAGTCGGCCAGCCCGTCTCGAGAGAATATTTAACGTAAGTTCTATATTTTATTTGACGGTCGATTTTAATTCCGGAGAATCGCGAGCTGTAAATTTCGGTCGCCACTAAATTCTTAAGAATTCGTTAACGCGACTATAGAAAAAAATTTGATTTGTGAGCGAAGGGGGAGAGACATTCTTCTGCACGAAAATAGATTCGTAGGGCGGAGTGTGGTCGATAAATCGCGCGGCTTCCGCCAGAAACGTCGCGCTACCTTCTAAATAAAAAAAGGGGGAAAGGAATAAAGTTATAGTGCGAACTAGGCCCGGCACCGACGGGATTTAGGGTGCTTTAAGCGTCATGGCGAAACGCTCAAAGGGCCGACTTCATTTTACAATCGTATGCTTTAATCGTTTCAAAATATCGATACGCGTTTCAAGTTTATTTTAATTAAGGATTGATTTCTTATGGCTTTGTCTAATTTCATTTCTTATATCGTTTTCTTTCTAATATGTTTCCTTTTAAAAAATATGTCATCAACTTGTTAATAACCTTACGTACGTTCTAATATCACTTATGCTGTCAGGAATCTACAAATTTGTTCTTTTAAATGTACTAAAAAATGATTAGTCTTCCTACGCTTTTTCTATCCCTTTATATATATGTATACTGAAATAACTATCATTATATAAATAAGTTAACTAGTTGTCTTTTAAGTTTAAAAAATAACAATATTCTAAGAGCGACGGCGAAGCTTTACTTAAAAGGACAACGATCCGAGATCCTTAATCACGGTAGTGTATCGGAATGCTCAAAGGGCCGCGACGGTGTTTGGAAATCGGCCGCTGCCGCCCTCGACACGCCCTAACCGATTCGCAGAGCGTGTGTGAGTGCGGTATCGCCTTGCAAACGGCAGTAACCACTTTGAGAGAACCACACGCCGGAATTTCATTTTCGTATTACCGCGTGTGGACACCTTTCACCATTGTGCGACCCGCTTCATCGTATCGCAACTCCCCACGTGTCCGTGTATACATGCTCACGCACAATAGTTAATTTATATTCAAGATGTCGAACGGAGATATAATTACGAATATTGGCGAGTAATGTATTCCTTCAACTGCCGATTGATATATACGGCTCGTGTGAGAGGATATCGCTTTTTCTATCAATATTTAATAAGCTCGTCGATTGTTACATCATATTCACAATTTCATAATTTTAATAAAACAATCATTCCCAGGCCTTTCTAAAATTAAGATTGCGAGTTGAATACTCTCTTTCATTGTTAATAGAAACGCATGTAGCAATTAATGAAATCCTCTAATAATATTTTCTCATTTATTTTCTCAGTTTTTTTTATATGATTTGTATTGTTCAGAGAAAGTTTCGAATTAAATATCTCGTTAATACAAGAGGAATGTAGAAGTTTTTCGGAATATGTATATAAAATTGTGCAATACAATTAGTATTACTTACTAAAAATTAATACTCGAACCATACGTTCAACACAGCTATACAAAAATCAACAATGGCTGCAATACATTTTATTTTGTCATTCTTACGTCGTCGTTTATTTCCTTTGTAAGCGAAACCTTCGATTTCGCCTGTTGCAGATTGTTCAACGCTTCCCATTACGGCAGCAGCAACCTTACCTCCAATCTGACGTCCACCAATCTCAATCTGGGCAGTCTGGGAGGCAGCGTCAGCCCGACCGGGTCTAACATGAGCGCCTGCATGGTGCAAGGTGGCGCATCCTCCTCCGGGGTGCCAGTCTCAACGGGGATGGCGCCCCACGTGACCCCGCACAGCCCCAGCGAGGCGAAGAGCGGATATCCGTACTTGGGCAGCATCGATTCTCAGGTTTGCGGAAGAGTTCACTGAATTTAAATTTAACTACGAGAAATGATCGCGCGATTTACGCACAATTGCATGAGGAGGAGATGGCTTAAAAAATTGTTACTGTTATTTATTCTGTTTTTCTTTTCGAGGCTCGATATGAATTGGTAAAAATATTTGCGCAAGTTCCGAAAAGATTGCTGGTTGACAAAGTGTTCTTTATAAAAATACATTTGTTTTAGCTTTTATTATTAAATAGTTTTTTGCGTTATTACATACGTTGTTACTTTTTATTAGGAACTCAATAGATATTCTTTCGGCAACGACTTTATCGCAATATTTTTGTTTCCGTTTCAAGAGTAGATGTGAAATGTGTATAGTCTTCAAAATTTGAAGAGATTTTTTTTTTATTTATGAATATGTAATCGGTAATTTATAAAACGCGAAACGATTGTAAATATCCTATAGCCGCTTTATAGAAGGTACGTGTAAGTTTTTCCACGGCGAAGCTACTGCATATTTATGATAGAGTTAAACTCACGTTTAAGTCGTACATAGGTAAGCCGTTCACCGACTTCTGAGAAGTGTCGTAATTACGAAGATTTATTCGTTAGAGTGATTAGCATTTGGAAGTTGTACAACAACGATGCCGCGGATGTTTTACCGCCTTAGAATTGCCTTACTATAGTAATAATATAATACAAATGATTATATATATTCACGAATGACTCGCGTATATTTTATGGATAAAGCTGTATATATTTATGCGTAAATCGTATTGAATTGTAGAAAGGTTATCGATAAAGATATTCTTATCACAGTCGACGTTGTGACTTTACCCCACAAATCATCCAATTGGCCAGTTCAATTATATACATCGCACATTATGTGCTGCTGACACGACAGTTATATCCGATCTGTATAATGCATCGTTATATAAATAAATGGACTATGTGAAAAGTTCTTCGTATCCTTCTACCATGTCGTTAATCTCATCAACTATTCGCACGCAAGGTAAGTGCATATTTAACTTTCGTTAATGTTGAATAAGACTGAAAGCTCGTGGACGTAAAATCGATAACAGATTTGTTGACTGAAACTTTTTACGTACCCCAGCAAACGATGTTATCTCTCGCGATAACCTTTATCTCGCGAGACCAGGGCAGCATTTAAGGAGACGGCCAGCCTAAAAAAAAGCGACGCGTGCATAATTCGCGATCGGTCCCGAATCGTCAGGCCTGTCTCCCGGTTTTCAGCCGCCCCCGCGAACCCGCCGTTGATCACGGGGCCGGCCGTCGGCAGGAGACAGTGCGCGACCGGCGGGGGGTTCGGCGGGCCCCGAAGAGCCGACAATCGGGCGCGCAGTGACAACGAGCAATCAGCCTGCCGTATATCTACGGGTCCTGTCGCCACGCATTTGTGCCCCATTGTGTCGACGAAGTAGGTGGTCGTTCCTTTTCCTCTTTCTTTCTCTCTTGTGCTGCCCCGGCCTCCAGGTTCTTCCGCAGGACAAAAGTATCTACCGCACAACGACATTTGCCCTTACCGGCTTCTAACTTTAACCCTTCGTATCTCATTGAGCGAGCATGTTTATACGGATATGTTATAGATATGGGATTTCATTACGCCTGGCTTATTCAGAGGAACATTTATATCACGATGATTCGCGCTACTTACATTTATCGTTTTAACGCGCTACTTTATACCTACATTTATCGTTCTAATCGTGAAACTATTTTTGGCAAATTTGAATCGTATGTTGAAATTATTTTTTAAACTTACAGTACGAAAGGCCAGAGAAGATGGAGGAAAAAAGCTATATTCGATATCAATTTTTCTTAATACAAGTTTTGTTTAAAGTATATCTTTTAAGTATGATCCTGAATTGTAATTGTATAAATTGCATTTATAGGATCCACTAAATACAAATATAACAATTAATAATTATTTTCTCTCATCTCTCCTTTCATTATTTCGATTATTATCGAAATCCGTATAAGGTTTATTTTGCGTCAAGATCATCAAACGACAAAAGAAATACATCAAAATTTGTTGTCTAAAAATCCAAGCTAGTGTCGCATGATATTTTTTCTGGACCTCACGTATCGTTTGCCTGCCTCCGCGTGTAATTCGCTATTCAATGATCCCCGCCCATGTTCCAACCCCCATAAGCGCGGTACGGGGTTGCTTCAAGAGCGGCTCCTTTGAACATCGCCTGCCTTTCTCTCGTCGCCAATCCTACCAAATATCTTCCCCCAATCTGTTGCTTCAAAATTGCCCTGACCCCAATAGCAACGTGGTAGGTCAAGAACTGGTACAAAAAAAACGGCGTGGTCACGTATTTTCGTGAGAACTTTTATTGTAAAATACAATGCTAACTCGGCATTCAGTGTGTCTTAACGACAAACTTTTCATTCGGAATAATTTGCAATCGTTTCTATCTTTCAATCAAAAAGATAAAATGTGTATAAAATAGCTCGATGTTATTTCCTTTTAGCAAGAAATAATTTTGGAAGAAAGTACTTTTCAGATTCTTCTTTTAAAGTAATAAAATATACTATAATTAAACATCACAACGAAGAATGATCTTGCCGCAAAAGATGCACGTCGCAAGTTGGTGAATGTATCTTCCGATAATTTTTTATAAAAGGCTGCATTTTTTATCAAATCCCTTTTTTTTTATTGTTTATTACAGTTTTTAGACAGTTTTTAGATCTTTGCTCTCCGCTGCGTTTTCCAATACAGTAACCAGAACAGATGTACCGGCAACTGCAAAGCTGATAAGTGTGACGACCTCCCAGACTCAAACCGCACCCTCACGATGGAAATCGGAGGGTGTCCTTACGGCCAATCCGTGCGTGCGCGTACATTGCGTGACTTCGGCCTGTATGCGCCGCGATGCATATCCGAGACATATATTTTTCACAATATAAAGTCGCTTTATGCGACGTAAAACGGCTAACGCGATTTTTCTATAACGAGAGAGAAGTATTCTAGACAATATGTTACAAATTTCTATATAATTATTGTCAATTATTACAATTACTGCGTATTACCTAACGTTTCGAAAATCGAGTGCAGCTCTGTTAAGTAAAGAGGGCGAAGTGCTAAAACAAAATGCTTCTGATATCCTGAGCATTGTTTCTCAGGCGTAATTGCTCTCATTAACTGTCTCAAACGTGGTACGACGGTATTACGGAAATTCCTTGCAGGAGCTAATCATTCGATGATGCAAAATCCTTTCACTCTGCCATAACTGTCTTACGTCATTGCCTAAAGCGTTTTCTAACGCACAGCGTCTTGAAATCGTATAACTTCTAAAACCAATTTATTGCTTCAGTCATTTGACGTAATTGCTGGAATTTAAGCAATAATAATGATTTATAATAAAAATATCCTTCCTCATACATTTAAAATGTCGATTTACGATTCATGTTGATTAAAAAAAGATTGCGCTTATTGTACACGTTTTAGAATAGTATTGTTATAAAGAATTTATAAAAATATAGAACGTAAGACTTCTTCACTTCGTATAATAATAAAAACTCTGGACAGCTGTTTGCCATTTGTCGGATTGTTTTTTTTTTTTAAATTCGTCCCTGTATTTTTCTTCCTTTATCTTTTTTCAGTTTACGTTTCTGCTGCAAATGAAGTGCCGACTATCGTCGGTGGGGAAATGAGATGGGACAAGCGAAAAACACACAGAACCAGTTCACGCGGACATGATGGCTGCTCCCCCTTAATGGCAATGCAGCCCCCCGTGCGGTGCATCGTCGGCCCTTTTCAACCAATGGGATTGCCCGCCGCGTTTCGAACAATGGTGCGACCGAATAGATTAATCAAACTTAACCGAGCCAATGAAAGCCGTGCAAATCCCCGCGTGGGGGATACATGCGTGCGTACGTACGTGCGTGCGTGCGTGCGTGCGTGCGTGCCGCCCGTTCGTGCGAGCTGTAAGCGAGCAGCAGTTGCACGCTCGCCCATTTCGCATCCTAGCCAAGAGAGTCACGCCGGGGAGAACTATGAGAATACATCGCGGCCACGCCGACATCATGGTGTTGCGAATTTAACGACGATCTCGAATCGGCGGCATTCGGAAAGGACACCTTTGATACGCGAACACCCTTGCCCCGATCTTTACCCGTTGAGGTCATTCACGAGATGACACTTTTTGACGATGGTTGCTGCTGATGCTTCCATTGTATATGATCGTTACGAAGTTTATTAATCCTTTCTGCCAGCAGCAATTGCGCCGCAGAATATATATTGAATGTATAATCGTACAGTAAACATCACTTAATAATATAGCTGGAGAGAAAGAGAGAAATGAGCATTGATTTATCGTTGTGCGCAAAAGTATAGAGGTATTTTTAGAATGAAAATGATCTCTACTAATTTACAATCAACAGTATCCATTATGTCTTAATCATATTAGATTACCAAGAAATCATGAAATTAACTAAAAACAGATAAGAAACGTTCGATTTTTGGCCACCTCAAGGTGCGTTTCAACGTATTTCGAAATGGCGCCGAGGGAGCACGTGAAGATCGAAGAGTATCAAGGGGGGAGGTTTTCGGGGGCTGCTGCTGTAACCAGGGCTTTGATGAATGAACTGGGGCTTCATGCCGCCTCGGTCGGCGTTACCCACACGGCAGCTGGCCACGCCGCGTTGATTGGTCGCGCATCACGCCGCGTTTATGGATCTTTTGCAAAGCGATCAGCGTATACGCGTCTAAGGTCCCCTAACCAGGACCCCCGTAGATCCGCGTTGTTCTCATACGGGGTACCAACGTGTGGTGCCCCCTCGTCGCGAGTAGAAATGGCCGCGCTTGGCGAACTCCGCGATGAAGCGATGTTTATAAATCCCCGAATTTGATATAATTTATTACTATTATGATTATGTGTTGTTATTATTATTACTTACTTGGATTCCAATCAATCAATATACAAATATTTAAATCAGGGAAAAATGTTGCGTAGATAAAAAGATAATATTTCTCTAAATCGTAACATATATGAATAACGTGTTAATATTAACGTCGGTAACTTTGAAATTAAATGAAAATTACCAGTTATCGTATTTGAACAGCAATTGCTGCTACGCATTAATTTTATAACAATCGTACCAGCAAAATTTTTTTCACTCGTATAATTCGTATTTACGTCATTTTGTCTCAATCGCGAGTATCTTACGTATCGATACAAATCCCTTCGACTGCTTCGAAGATCCTCGATTATTTTCTAATCCTGGTTGCAACACGCCTGCAGAGGGTCAAGGGAATCGGAGAGGGTTCCCAGATCTTTTGAGCAGAACTAAGTTCGTAACGCGTGATGACATGCTTACTTACGCCAGTTGACGCCGATGCTTTTACGCTTTTCGGCGACCTGCGACGGAGAATTTGATTAGGTCAATTATGCGGCGCCGATCGGATCTTCACGTGAAATTAGATTGGCCACGTCGGTTATTGCGCCACAAACGGCCTTTTTATCTAACTGCGGCCACTTGGGGCGTTCCGTCGCACGCTCGATCTATATCTCTAGGCTTATGAGCCGATGCTAATTTAATTCGCGTTTAAAGCAATATCGCTACCATTAAGAATTGCGTAGAACAACATGTCAATCCAATGCATACCGTAGCAATTTATTTGGGTTTTGACACTTTACCAATAAGCTACTGCACCATCATTGGTATAACACACATCGTTGTTAATTATTGTATAATTTAAAAAAGGAAGCAAATTAATTAATGAAAAATTATATCTGATTAATTAATATTTTTAAGATATGCAAAAATAAATATTTGCTATGAATTTATTCCTTTATAGTAATTTTAAATTGAAATCTAATATAAGATTCTCAGAAATGGCTTCCTTCTCTTCTTCGATTTTCTTTCGGAAATTACTTCTGCACAATCGTAACCCATGTCA